CTCTTAAACAACTTGGACGAAATTGGGTGAAATATGGATGAATGGCTAGCTAGAGGGTTCATCTCCACACATGACGCATATGCATACAAATCGATTTCTAGTTATTATTCCTTTAAACCATGAATGACAATGCGCCAAGTTAATTGCATCGCACAACCAACCATCAGATTTTCCTTATTTCATTGAATTGAATGAATATGCATTACAACCAAATTATCTTTCTCAAGTTCCCTATATGAAACGCATGATAGAGATACATATCAAAAGTCATTAAGTTCTATGAAAATTATAAGCATTGACAAGGCATTCATCACTATGAAACGCATGAGACTCCTGCCAACGATTCACCTAACACAATCATGACTAGTGACTTCCAGTACTTGTGAATATAAGTGAATAACTATTACGTGAAACTTCCTTATAATCTAGCATCAATTCATGCATGCAAACTAAGTAGGCCTCCTTAATCAACATACAAGAATAAGTTATCAATCAAACAGATAAGTAAATCGCATTCATGATTTATGAAACAATAATTGGATGAAATCAATTCATATCACATATATGTTCATGGTTTTGAATTCACCTCTAAACTCTGGAGAAATTAAAGTTGAGGCTTGGAAGACAAGGAATTACACAAGGAAAAGGAATCCTAGTGGGAGGAGCATTATCTTATCCTATCTTATCCAATCTTACCTTATCTTATCCAGATTCATCTTATCCTTATCCTATCTTATCCAAACCTTATCCTATTTTATCTCATGTCCAGTAACAAGGAGGAATCCTAATCACATTCTAATACTTTCTACCTGATTTTTAAAGGCCAAAAATAACTCAAAAACACCAAAACCCTTTCCTCCTTGGATTTAGCCATTGCCCCTATATATATGAAATTCTTGCAAAGATTTAGAGTGTGCCATGCCTACCATTCATCCATTGAAGTTGCTGGAATTTTCAGAGTTCTTTCTATCTTTGTTTTAAGTTTCAATGTTTAGTTTAGATTGCTTTTCAGTTATGATGAACATGTGTAACTAAGTTTCTTTTTAGCTAGAGGTGAATTCGAAGCCATGATCATATGTTTTATATAAATTGATTACATCCAGTTATTGTTTCATAAAATATGAATGCGATTTACTTATATGTTTTATAGAAAACTTATTCTTGTATGTTTATTAAGGATGCGTACTTAGTTTGCATGCAGGGATTTGATGCCAGAATACAAGGGAATTTCACCTAATCGTTATGAACTTATATTTATAAGTAGTAAAAGTCACTAGTCATGATTGAGTTAAGTAAATTCCCGACTGGAGTCTCATGCTTTTCATAGTTACGAATGCTTTGTCAATGTTTATGATTTTCACATAACTTAATGATCTTTGAGATGTATCTCTATCATGCTTTTCATAGTTAGGGAACTTGAGAAGAATAATTTGGTTGCGTTGCTGAGTCCAATTCAATGAACCTAGGAAAATATGAGTGTTAATTTGTGCAGTTCACAATTAATTTGGGGCATTGTCATTCATGGTTTATAGAAAGAATAACTGGAAATCGATTTATGTGCATATGTTTCATGTGTGGAGAACAATCCTCTAGCTAGCCTTTCACCTATATCTCGTACAGGACCTAATTCGTTTGCTGCAATTTACTTTATTTTTATTAAAATTCATCCAAAAATCTCCCTCAATTCTTATTTTGTGTTAGTCTAGGTTAGTTTTCAGTTTTTAAGTTTAATTTGTATTGATTAGCATCCCTCCTAATCCCCGGCCTAGAACGATCCCTACTTGCTCATACTACAATTGTCTAAATTATAGGGTTTAATTTGTGTGTTAGTTTAACATCAAATTCAATTTCCATAAGGAGATGTAAATTAATTCCTATCACCAAATGAAGAAGTGCAACAAAAAAAAAATTAAATAAATAAAAAATGCAAGGAGAGAAGGAAGGGGAGGGAGTACCTTTGGGAAAATATTTGTCATAAAAAAGAGTGGTGATAAACTCATCTCACTGTCTTATTTCCCCACCCATCTTTTAATAAAAAATTTCATACCAAATTTATTCTCTTGTAAAATGACATCTAAGACAAAAGGAAAGAAAAACTCTGCTCTCTAGGTTGACATGTTTGTTCTTCCCCATCTTCTAGAACAACCCACCTCTCCAAATCTTCAAAAAATCAAGTCCCCATTACCTTTGGCCATTTTAATTTGATCTGTTTGTTTTTGTTGTCAATACCAGCAAACAACCTTGAAAACTAGGATAAAGACTTGTCTGTCCACAATCCACATGCCGATTGTTGTGGGAGGTGTAGATGAAGTGGAACACGGTGTTCTCAGGGCGGGTGGCGTGGTGGAGGATGGAAAAAATGCTGGGAATTGTGTAAAATGTACTTTATAGATGCGATCCTCGTTGTGCATCTTGATCAATTGAATCATGTCTTTGTAGATTTTGTTTTACTCAATAAAAATAAAAATAAAATGAATTTCAATACAAAGGTTATTTTAGGAATAATAGTTGGTGGGAAGATAACATTTCAAGTTTTTAACATTTTGTGGTGGGTGAGATTATAACGTGGGTGAGACTAACAGCACTCTAAAAAAATATGTAAATTGTGACATCCCACATCACCCAAGGGAGTGGATCCTCTATGCCTTATATGTATATTCCCAACTCCATCATCGCACGATATTGTCCATTTTAGGCCCCGACCACGCCCTCACGGTTTTGTTTCTAGGAACTCACACGAGAACTTCTCAATAAGTCACCTATCCTGGGAATGCTTTTGCCTGAACTCGCTTAACTTCGGAGTGAACTCCGAAGCTAGTGAACTCTCAAAAGGCCTCGTGCTAGGTAGAGATGGAAATATATAAGGCATAAAGGATCCACTCTCGTGGATGATGTGGGATATCACATAAATGGTGATCCATAGAATGATTATCAAAAGCACATAAAACATAAAAAATAAAAATAAAAAAATAAAATTAGACCTATTAAAAATTAGCCGTTACACATAAAGAAAAATAATACATGTAAACAAAAGTAGCCAAATTGTTTAACACACAAAATTAGTTAAAAGCAGTAAAAAAAATTAAATCCTAATAAATACCTATCGATGATTCCCCTGCTTGCTTTACGTTCCAACTAAATTCTGCATTCAACAACAATAAGAAAACAGAAAACAGAAAACAATAAGAAAACAAATTGAAAAAAAAATTGTAAAAAAAACTGAAAAACAAATCGAAAAAAAAAAAAACCAAATGGAGTTCCTGGAGTTCTCCACCGCTTCCCCTAACAGCAAGATGCTGACGTGGGTTGTAGTGGGAGAGAAAGATGCTGTGATTTAGATAACCAACCATGTAAATTGAGTAGGATCAAAAGCTACCTGTTTGTAGGCGACTTGATGTACCAGATAGGAAGAAATTTGATCAGAAAATGGGGAATAGAAGATAGACTTGGGTTATTAATGAATAGATGACACAAAATTAGCGATTTTTTTGGAGAATAATTTGTTTCGAAAGATGTGATCCTCACCAATTTCTGTCCCTCATTTTCGGAGGATTCAAATGTATTAATTGTATTGGAATGTGGAAATCCACTTACTGAAACTTAGGTGAAACCCAATTACTCAAACAATCTAATAATCTAGGCACAAAAAAATGCATATAAACTGATAGATACATACACACACACGACACATTTATGTAAACAGATTAGGCTTTGATATGCAACCCACTGCCAAAAAGGTTCACATCATATATAGCTTTGTAAGAAGCTAGTGAGCACAACAGTAATGGAAACATATCAAAATGAATGCCAATACTAAATAGAAAATTATGTTCATTTGGGAACACGTCAAATTGAAAAAATAACAATTAGGTTTGTATGCTAGCATAGATAGGTTACATTTTCACATCGAGTTGGTTCTCCGAGAAGATTAACATTGGCAATGGGGAGGCGTATTACTATTAAATATATATATGAATGCGCCTAACCTTGGACACAGTATCACCTTTTAATTATGTAGTTTGGTCTTTGGTGCATTTACTTCGACATTTACTCGTATATGGGATTTTAAACAATTTGTGCATACTTTTGGTATGTTGAAAGCAATCCACAATGTGCTGAATCTAGTGTTTACCTGCTCAAATTTTCGACATGTGCAGGTATGATTTGCAAGAGCGTTGATTAAGTGAATATTATAGAACCGAAACTGTCTTCTAGTAAGATTAATTTTGACCTTCAGTTTGGGTTCCAAGACGGCGTCCCCAGGTCTGGGTTCTGAAAATTGGCCTCTTTCCGATTATCCATCTGTAAATAGCGGCCTTATGTGGGCAGTTATTGTTGAACCACCAATGAACTCCGATCATGGCTCGTTAAACTGCTCTCTGGTTTAAATCGTGGCAAGTTGGAGCAAGACTGATAACTGAATTGGCAACTATCTATTCTTTTTCTTTTCCTCCCACGTTTCAAATTCTGTACTTAGGTTTTTACCTCTTCATCCCCCTTCAGTATCAAATCCTTGTTTTGCTATTGCCAATTTAGTCACTGAATTATCATCTAAGTAAAAATTAGGTTCCTAAACTATTATTTCAGAAAGACCAGTCCTTAAATTATAAAAATCTACCAATTACATCTCTAATATTAGATTTGAAGCTACTACATTCAATATTCCTTCAATTTAAGTCACGTTATTTGTACGTAACACGCACTGGAGAGTAAATTGGTAATTTTACGTAAATAAATAGTGTATGGAGTTAACTTTATAGGGTAAATTAGACATTAGATTCACAACCTATATGAAATGTTAAGAGCTTATATGCGAGAAAATGATGGTGTTACACTTTAAAGTGTGACTTAGTTGACGAAAAATTAGATAAAATAGCTTAATATAATTGTAGATTCAGCAATTAACAATTTTTAATGAATTTAGGCTCTTATTTTACCGAAAAAATAATTCAAGAACTTAAATTTTCACTGAGGTGAAAGCTTAGAAACTAAATCGGCACTTAAATATAAAATATATGTATATATATAACTATTGATGGTTCCATATCCAGCTTAGTATACAAATTCATTGAAGAAATCCACCGATAAAATGACTACGTGGGCAGAGTAATTCTCTATCCAGTCCAGAGTCCAGACCAACTATCTTTTCGTTCTACCTTGCAAGCAAAACATCATACAAACAAATACACAGCAAAGGTAGACTACAAAAATGAAGTAGACCAAAGTAGCAAAAAATCATCAAGATTCTAACACTATTAGAGAAAAGGTCTCACAACTCATCAACACACGTCATGTGAGCTTCTAGTCACTGAAATCCTGGAACAACTCTGGAGGTATTGACAGAGGACAGTACTTCTTCGCCACGAATTTATACTGAAACAGAAAGAAATGTCAAAGATTGAACCCAGATACCGACTATCAGACTTGAAGATATTATGAGGCCATAAAACTATTAAGTTATCCCCACTTAAAATTGTTTTCATCCAACCTATAAATGCGATCATCAAAGGAAATCTAAGTTAAAAAAATAGGGTTGGGAAGCAATCACAACTCACGTTCTAAACTTCACCCGGACGGTTAGAAAAAAGGGGGGAGAGAGAGAGAGAGAGAGAGAGGGTTTCTTCATACCTTATGTTGACTGTACTTCTCCCTAACTGCAGGTAAGTTCGAACCACAGCCATTACAACACAGATGATGCAGTGCTTTGACACAATCACTCAAATCTGAGGCTTGGTAAAGGGTGTAGCGTCTCAGCGTAGAATTCTGGAACAGATAGAGAAATTATGCTCTATACTATACGTTTATAAGACACTTAAAAAATGAAGCAAAAATATAAAGTAAAATATTTCAAATACTCTCACACATAACAACATACCCAAGGTTTCTTCAAAGGGGAAAGAATATACTTTGCCAAGAAGGCAGCAGAAGCAGCTATTAGAGATGGGGCATAACAAAGCATGCTATATTCTACAAGAGACAACTCCGCGATGTAAGAGGCCAAGCACCAGAAATGCTCTGATGGAACCTAGGAAAAGTTGCAGGTTAGTAAAACTAGATTTATGAACCACAATAACATCAAAAGACATCAGCAGACAAAACATTCAATTATCCTGCCTACATTCAAGTAAAATTCAGATTAGAAGGCAACTTCAATTTTCAATGCATAACGATTTGTAACAAACTTCATAACAGAAAGCATGTTCGGACATCTTATAAGTGGAGGAAATTAAACCAAAAGGCGCTAGTCGAAGACAAATACCTCACTGGTCTTTTGAGCAGCAAAACAAAATCGCCTTAAAAAGCACATGGGCGTTGGAGATGTCATTTCAAACTTCAAGTGATTCAGGACAGAGGATTCCATTTGCAAAACCTGCATCCACGTATTGATAATTTTTTTTTTTTTTAGAAGAATTAAAAAGCCAACTCAAACAAGCACCTATCACTCCATCTAAAATTAGCAAAAATAAAATCCTGACCTCCTCTTTAACGTATGTGTTGTCCGTAAAGTAACAGAACTGTTCCACCTCAGGAGCAATAATCTCCTCGTATTTACTGGAAAGATTATCATTCACTACGTTAAAATGCATCCTTCAAATACTTATATATTTATAAAGTCAAACATATCCACATGCCCAAAGACAATATGAAGCAAATGAAAATCTTACGCTGCAATCATCATGCATGCAAGACCCAGCAACTGCAATTGTTTCCTATGCATCACATTGCCAGAAAGATAACGGTCTACATAGTTGATAGTTAGATATAGTGTTTCTGGTACCAGCCTGAACTCTTCAGCAACCTATAGATTGAAGTTATAAGTCACGATAACCACCAATCAAACAGAATTTTAAACATCATTGATCTGTAATGGTTGTTAAACATTAAACAAAATTCAGACAGTGGATTCACCTCTACTAGCCAATCAATCAGAATAGCACGCATGTCAGCATTGATGTCTTTCTGGATTGTTTCCATAAAGTCCATGAAGGGCCTTCTATTTTCCTGAAACCCAATAAATCAAACAAATCGCATGACACAAGTGGATGGAAGAAAGGGGAAGTTATAAGATAACTCGTTAAGATAGTTGCAAGAACTCATTGTATAGGCAAATTTGTACATAAAACTTGTTGAATAATATCCAATTTGAGGATGGGGTTCAATTTTAACAAGTAAGCTAATTCAGTAATTGGATATTAATTCTACATTTTATGAATTTCTTGTCCAAGTTAATACTCATTTCATCCATCAATATAATTTCCCATTATGTCTAATTTTTGTACTTTCGACATTCTGTAGACATAATTTCTCAAACTAGCATACACAATAAGTATCTTTCAGTGAGGTTTAACAATAAGTTACAGTTAACATCCACCAAAGAAAATGGCAAACAAAGTGATCGTATATCAGAATAATTGACAACTAGTTTATAAGATATTGATAAAGTTTGTTGGTTTACAATAACTCGTAGAAGCTTAATTTGTTAGTAAGCAAACTATGTCATGTTCTAAATTCTGAAAGATCTTCTCAAGAGTGGGGCTCTCATCTCCCAAATGTGGAATTTCAACATTCTGTTTAAACTGAATGTGCTTACAATTCAGAAGTGGTAAAATTGACAGAACGAAAATTATACGGCTGCAACTACAGAAATCAAAGTGCAACGTGTTTATGAGATTTTTCCAACTGCAACATGACAAATCTAAACGCCTATAATATACATCATACGAAGGTAAGTAAATGTGTAAAATGTGATTATCAGTGACATACAGTAATATACAGGAAGTTTCCAAAATTAAAAGCAATTATTATGTACAAGATCATTCATACTAGTTGGAAAATAATTTCAAACCTCAGATTCACGCAAGTGCTTGTATATGTCTGGAGCAATGGTTGCACAAAACTGTGGATCCAAAAGATTGGCATCAATATCAACGACTTTATCTGTTGCCTCCATATCAACAAATATATCTTTCTTCCAGATATTGCCTGAAATCAAGATTGAAAAGATATATTTAAGTAATGTATCATGGCTAACAACCACACTGATCGTCATGTATACCGTGTCTATTTTAACGGATTAAAATAGGGAGGATCCTGAACTAAAACAAATAGCAGAGAGAGAGATAGAGAGAGAGAGAGATAGAGAGAGAAAGAGAAGAAAACAATGTTTAAAAGAAGAAACCTTCTTTTCCTGGATAGTCCGAAATGAATAGGCTCTTAGTTGTTTTTTTCCCAATCGATTTAACTTCTGAAACATCCTCATTGTCAATATATTCAAATTCTGGACTCTTTAACGAATCACACGTAGACATGCTCTCATTCAAAGAAACTGAAGCACTAACTGATCTGCTTGGAGATACATCCCTGCTTCTGAATGCATGATTTATGCAACTGGGAGCAGGAAGAAAAGTACCGCTGCTGCTTGGAGAAGGATCAGTGCCAATTACTTTGATAGTTGGATCAGTTCCTGAGACTGATGTACCACTGAAAGGAACCAAGATGCTTGGTTTTGAACTCAACGATTCATCGCTCCACGAGACGCCAGTCTTACTCGTGCAAGATGACGCTTTCGTTGCCATCTTAGCAACTTCAGTTTGACATGGCACCTTCAAATGTACAACACAGTCAATCTTTTCTCTCAAAATATTATCGTCAATACACCAATACACCATAAATTGAAAGATCACAATGACTTGTTTATGTAAATACAAATCGAAAGATCACAATGATATAACCATAAATTGAAGGCAATTTGCATGTAACGAATCTACTAACATTGCATAATCCATCTTATCGTTATAAACATGCACATTTCATGTATCTCTCATCTGCATTTCCAACATCAAATAATAACATATTGTTTTTACCCAAACCTATTTTAGTAAATTAGTGAAATAGCTCCAAATATCATGTTGAAACTCAAAACACTTCAGTTTAACCCCTGAATTCTTTGGGTTAAAGAAAAAATAACAAGTCCATTAGACTAAATGAAGTCACATAGTTCTTCAATTCTTTGGGTTACGTACAAAATTCAGGGTACTAATTAATTTATCAACATTTCTTTCTATAAACAGGAAATTCTTCAAGAAACAGAAGAAAATAATTAAATTAAATTAAATAATACTAGTAATAATAGTAGTCATAATAATAACGACTTAATTATTATTAAACAGAATAAATTGATTAATGGAACGAGGACGAAAAGTAGACGAACCATGGGCTTCAACGAAGTGGAACTCGGTGGAACGATTTGAGACCCATTCCTCTGGTTCGTGACGTCAGCGAGAGCAGTTCGCTTCTTGGACACTTGGGTCTTGGCCGCCATGGGCTTCTTGTTCGGATGATGCGAAACGGAGGGCTTCTTGTTCGGACGATGCGAAACGGAGGGCTTCTTGGCCGCGGACGACGAGGATGACAACAGCGGTGGACGGCGGTTCCGGGCCGACATTTTCAGGCCAAACCCTAATCGAATTCCGTTGCAATAAGCCAATGTGGTTAACTTCCCAAAGAAGTCACAGAGTGAGAGCTTTAAGGGAAGCGGGAAGTAGTACGGATTTCAAAGGGCGGAGAGATCGCGACCGCCCGATGATTGTTGGCGGTGGAAGAAGAAATCTGAACCGTCCGTGTGACGCGGAAATGGTTCCGCATTAATGCATGAGAATAATGATTATTTAACTAAAAAATTGTTTTGGAAAATTTTATTTAAATCCAGATAACCTCTTTTTATACCCAATATAAACTTTAAATATGAATTTTCTTTTTGACCTTATTGCATAATTATTATCAAGTACAAGATAAAATTAATAATAAATCTAAAATTTATCAATAAACTCACACCCATCACACAATCATTATCCTAGGCACATGGGTTTGATTCACACTCCATGTTCTAAGAAATATTTACTATCCGAAAAGAGGAAAAAACGAGGTCTTTGTCTAAAGAAATGCCTTGAGAAAGGATGGATGTATAGAACTCTAAGACGTTAAGGGCATTCATGACGGCTAAACCCTAAGACGCTCTCATAAATAAGGGTATTGTCTGCACCCCTCTCCACCAACATACCCAACAAACTTGGAATTGCAATGGTTGCCTATATCCCAGTATCAAGACCAAAAGAATAGCTGAAGAACTGAAGGGAAAGGTAAGTAGCAACATAGACCTTTTTTTATGTCATTCGACGTAAGCTGGTTACCAGCAAATGCAAATAACTTTAGTTTGATCTCAACAGTTGAGTTGTTATGAACTCTATCCCATAACACATATTTTTGGTGAAAGATAACAAATTTAATGCAGTAAGAATTGACTTATTCAATCTCCCTTCCCAAGCTCAGATTCATAGGGGTGCTTGATGTGGTATATAATAGCACTCAAATTAAATCCTCTTTTTGACAATTGTAGTATAGATAATTGACTCAAAGACACAAAAATATGCTTAAAAACACTTAAACAAACTCAAAGACTCTTAACTAAACTTATATGACTCAAAACAAACTTAAAAGACTCAAAACAACACAAAACAATCCAAAAGACTCAATTTAGACTCTAGGACTTAATTTGGGCGGAAATAGAATTAGTTTTGACTCAAAAGACTCAAAAACACACTTTTGGACATATTTGAAATAAGTAAGTAAAAGGAGATTGGGTTTTGGACGAATTTAAGAGAAAAACAAGTAAATAAAACACTTAAAAGAGATTTGAACGAATTTGGGAATACCAATAGATGATTAGATAGCTAGGGAACACTTTTCCACACATGACATATTCAAACATAAATTGATTTCCAATTTCTTTTTCGATAAACCATGAACCTCAACACCCCAGATTAACCGTGACATCACTAATTAACCCTTAGATTTTCCTTAAGTTATTGGATTGGATGACATCATACGACAACCCAAAGCATTCTTCAAAAGTTCCCTACATGACATCATAATAGAGATACAATCAAAGATCATTACGTTCAATGAAAATCATAAGTATTGACAAAACACTCATAACTATGATATCAGGATACTCATGCTAGGAATTTACTTAACATGATTGTGAAAACAACCTTAACTACTTGTGAATATAAGTTTGTGACGATTATGTGAAACTCCCTTATATTCTAGCACTAAATTCAAGCATGCAAATTAAGTAGGCCTCCCTAATCAACATACAAGAATAAGTTATCCATCAAACGGTTAAGTAAATTGCATTCACCATTTATGAAATCACAACTGGAATTAATCAACTCATATTATAAACATATGCATGGTTTCAAAGCCTCCCCTAGCTAAAACGAGTTTAGCCTCTCATGTTCACAACAAAACAATGGAAGATTAAATTAAACATTGAAAACAAAAGATAGATTACACCTAAAAACGCTTCAATACTCCAACTTGAATGCACAAACATCCAAGGCTTCCTCTTCTTCTCTTCTTCCTTGCAAAGTTGCGGCACAAGAGGTCTAGGGTGATTTGTGGATGGATTTCTAGGTTGTGAATGGATTTAGGATGGTAGGGTGGTGCGGCAAAGGTTGGGGATGGTGTATGGATAATTGGATGAAGGTATGAATGTGTATGAATGGTAGAAGGATGGGTTAAAGGCTGCGGCAAAAGGGTTTTTTCTGTGAATGATGGCAGATTGTGTGTGTGAAGGATTAGGGTTCAATGAAAGGTGCGGCCTTGGTATTTATTTGAGAAAAAGAATCCCTAGAGTTTATTACATAGTTTAGGAAAGGATTTAGACCCCAAATCCATCAGGAAAAGGAGTCATAAAGTCAGAAATTAAAAGGGAAAAAGAAGGAAACTTGCGGCCACTAAAGAATAGTAAAAGGGAATGTGTTTAAATGCTGAAATTAGGCAAGAATTAGAGATAGAAAAGGTATGTGAGGTGCGGCTAAGATTGGAGTGAAAATGAATGTGGTTTTATAACATAGAATAGGAAACAAGGACCTCCCTTGCACGGCAAAGAAGGGAAAGTCAATGGGTTGCACGGCAAGGAATGCTAGGTTGCAAGGAAGGCTTGGTTTGTGTCCTAGAATGCATAGAAGTCTTCAATGTTTCTGAAACATGGGGTCTTTAAGGATTAGGAAAGGTTAAACCAAAATAGGAAACCTTGGCTTAACTTTCCTACTCCAAGTAGGAAACCTTCTTTGACTAGGATTCCTCTTTTGATTAGGAATCCTCTTGTGATTAGGAATCCTAACACCTTTAGGTCTTCAATTTCGTCCATTCCTTTTGCTCCAAGCATATGCTATCCATTCCAAGTCCAATTTTGCTCCAAAATGCACCTTTTTGCTTCCTTAGCCATATGATTCTAAAAACACACGAAAATAGCTTAAACTACTAAAATAACTATGAACTAACAACATAAATGCACGAAAACAAGCTAACTAAGTCGTCTAAATATGCTCTTATCAAATTCCCCCACACTTAGCTTTTGCTAGTCCTCGAGCAAAACAAAATAAAAGAAACAACAAACAAAACAAAACACATTCTAAACCTTCCAACATGTACCTCAGGGATTTCCAACGAACATGACACATTAAAGAACATCATTCCCATGGTTTTTGGCTTTCTTTACACTTTAACAAACACTTAACCATAGTTACCACTTACTAGTTCACATTTAATCAATTAAAACAACATTTTGAATGTAGTAACATGCCTTAGAGAATTCCCTCAATTCCTCACTAGAATGGTCTCTATTTTCACACAGATTTTCTAACTGCACACCCTACACTAGGTATATGTGAGAAGATTGATTCAAACATGAAGACTAACATTCACATATGTTATAACAAAGAAAGCAATTTCTGGATTTACGATAATGACATGTATATGATCTCATGAATGGAATGCTACTACTTAGAACGAGAACCAGTGATTCCATATGCTCATACCACATTCAGACTCCACATATTGAACACATAACATCAAGATAGAAGTTGAGGGTTGTAACGGGGCTAAGGGTATTGGCTAACAAAGAAAGGTAAAGGATAAATAAAGGTTCTTAAAGCAATAGGAAGCAAAGTAATGAAATTGACACTTAAACTCACTTTTGATGGCAGAAATTAACTTTTAAACAGAAGGGAAGATTCATGCAACATTTAGGGTCAAATTCAAACTTTTGGACCCTTCCTTCAACAACCAACACTTGTGAGATCATTCTCACTTATTTTTCAACTCTTTTTCTTTCTTTTCACCACTTTTCTATTTTCTTTTTTCTTTTTCCACGAATTTTTTTTCTTTATTTTCTTCTTTGCCGTGCCCTATAACCTTCCCCCACACTTGCTTTCTTCAATATGTTGCTCAAAAGGAATCCATTCTAAGTCATGCTTCACCATCCTTTAAGAACGAGGGTATGAAAAGTCCTAATCTAGGCTAAGTACGGATAATGTGGTTAACAAAGAAAATAGGCTGAAAAGGCTCAAAAGGGGTAATCCTACAATAATTATGCAAAAGGGTTAGGCTTTTTGGCTTTGGCTTAACTAACAACTTCATCTTATTGTATGTTATGCAATCAATATCATGCTTTGAATGAAATGGGCATGAGTTCTAGTATTTGGAACTATAATGATAAGATGCATTCTAAGTAGCAACCAAGCAAAGAATGATGAGATCATGCAACGACTTTAGAAAACAAGAAATCACAAATTTACACTCTCCAAAGAACGTTTTAGGCTCAAGTCTCTCTGGGATGTAGCTTTAGTTTGAGTTCCTTCCTTCAAGCATGTTACAAAAACTAATTTTCTCTTTGTAATTACATGTGAATTTGTAAACTATAACCATAACCAAGCATAAACCAAAGCGTAAATCAAACTTCCATCCATGTTTACAACATTCTTTAATAGTCATGCAATTAAAAACCAAATCCTCATCATTGTGTTGGAAGGTACCCTAAGACACAAACAAACACACAAAAACAACTTAAAAACAAGTCTTTTTGGGTTTTTAAAAACTATTTTGCAATGTTTTTGTAAATTTTTGGATTTTATGAATCAAACATCCATGAAGCTTCAATTTTCAAAACCCTAACACACTTATTCCTATTTCTTCATCTGTTTATTTCTGTGAGTTGGGTTTTTTTTGGCAGTGTCTTTACATGCTTTTCTATGGTCCTCCGGGCATCGAAAAAACCACCACCGTTCTTGCCATCGCCCACCAGCTTTTTGGGTTTGCCTCCTGCCCACTTAATTATTTATTTGAAATTCCAAAGAGTGTGTATTTATGTGCTTTCAGCTCTTTAAAACTTATTTTCCCAAATTGCATTGTTTTTTTAGGGATGTCATGATTCTCAAATTCTTCAAATAGGTAGAGTGATTGCGATACTCTTTTGGGTTTACTAGATTTAGTTGATACTTAGATGGACTATGACCACTCTAGAGTTCAAAAGTCTTCAAAAGGGTTGAGTAATTGTGATTTCATTGGGGCGGACTAGGAGCTGGTTTGGTATTGCTTTACTTTGAAAAAAAACTGCTTCTGTTGTGCTGTGGGAATAAGCAGCTGTAAAATAAAGCAGCAGAGTGTTTGGTAAACTTTTTTGTAAAAGTGCTTTTGAAAATAAAAAAAAAACAGTATTATAGTGTTTGGTAGGCTTTTATGTAAAATAGATGTGAAAAAA